CCTACTCTATCATCCTGCATGCTTCATCGTTGCATATGACCGGTCCCGTGCGGGGTGAGCTCGTAGGAACTTTGGAATGCGAAGCCTCGGTTACCGGTAGTTGCCACGACGGCGCTTGCTGCAGTTTTCAGTTTTCGCGGGCTTTCGGGCTCGCACCTTATCGGAAAGTTGCGTGAATTTCAGTCAAGTGCGATTGTGGTACAGCTGTGACAGCACTTCACAAGGCTTTCGATGTCGCACTTAACAGGACACATTTGGCGCGGTATGATTGGCTTAGACCAATGAATGAAACTGCGTTTCATTGATCAAAATGGATTGATATATAGCCAATGGGTTGCCGGATTGAGACACGACACGCTGACTTCTGGGATGCTGGTACCGGTGCACCACGTAAATTAGGATACTGCCCTCTCCAGCAGTCAAGCTCCAACAACGAAGCGACACCAACAAAGGTGCGTCAGCCAGCAAAACGACGCCACGTTTGCAAATGAATTGTTCGTTTAGACGTGACACGTCTCCTATGTATACTGTGGATAACGGCACGCAACCTACCGTTGAAGAGCACTCTTCCCCGGCATGCTTCCCCGGTCTCGTTCGATTCAACGGCTTCAACAGCAATGTCCTCGTTGCACCCCTCGTGTACGAGATACCGATCACCTTAGGCAGCGTCACGTGCCGCCAACGATCGCACTCAACATGATGGACACTTTCGTTGTTGTCGATTGATAAACTCAAAAAGGTTCTCCCTTCTTGGCTCATATATATTGACGTCGCTGCGTACCTTGCCACCGTTGCGAGCACGCACGCGTCAACGGTAAAGAAGACGCCACTCGACGCAGCGTGTTCCCTCCAAAACCCAGCAGAAACCGCACCTCGAAACCTTCGATTTTGGATCGCGAAGCTTAGCGCGAGCCGTTATGACGCTTGTACTTCTCAAACAACAACACTCGAAGCGATGGACGAGCTCTGCAACATTTGCTTCGAGCCGAGCCACGTGGCGGCCGCGGTCTGGCGCTGCGATGCGTGCCCGGCCATCGCGTGCCTCCGCTGCATGCGTCACTACGTGCGCCACAAGGTCAATGGCGGCCAAGTGACATCCGGCCAGCTCGTGTGTCCGGGTCCGTGCCGCTCACCGCTCGCCAACGTCGAGCTCTTTATGCAGCCGAGCTTGTTTGTCAAGTACACGCGGTTTCTCAATACGCAGCTCGAGATCCAGCAAGGCACGCGCTACTGCCCACGCCCCGAGTGCGGTGCGCCGTTGAACATGGACAAGTCGTCGTCGTCCAAGCGCCGCGTCTACTGTGCAACCTGCGACACGGAGAGCTGCTTTGAGTGTGGCGATCGCTTCCACGCATGGCCGGTCTGCAAGGACAGACGCTTCCGCAAGTATTGCGACCGGCATGCCGTGCAGACGTGCGCGCGCTGTCAATGGCCGATCGAGAAGCACGGCGGCTGCAACCACATGACGTGCCTGCGGTGCGGCCACGAGTTTTGCTGGCTCTGCCTCGCCGAGTGGAGCGAGCACTCGAAGGTGCACTGCCTCCCGCTCGCGATGCTACACTCGAAGCACTTGTTGTACGGCCCACGGCGCCGATTCGGTTTGTCACCAAGTCGGTGCTGGCGACCGTCGCGACCGGGTCGGCGCTGGTCGTGGGCTCGGTCGCCGCGGGCCTCGCAGTGACGGGCGCCAGTGTCCTCGCGTGCGCAGCCGTGTTTGTCGTACCGCCGATCGCCCTCACCAAGCACCTCAAGAAGAAGACCAAGCTAAAACAGCAGCGCCGCGCGAGCCATGCCACGGCCGCGGCTTAAGAGTACCATGCATGATGGAGTGTGGAGCCTGAACATTTGTTTCCTGAATGCACCCTTTTGTGTCGTAGCGACTCGATCGTGTTGTCAATGCGAGTCTTTCATACCAGGGTCAAGAGACCGGAGGAACGCCTTCGCAGCACGATGAACGTGTGTCGACGTGCCGCTGAAATGGGTTGGTACGGACCTCCCGTCGCTGACGCCGCCTCAGTCGCTGGTGTCCCTGGAGGACCTCAACAAACTGCGTAGCGTTGCCACTGACGGCAAAGCCTGGAAGGCCTTGACGCAACATGTCATCATGGGCTTCACCCGCGGCCACAGTCGCCCCCGGGCGACTACAGAAGAGCAAGACGAGCCCCCGCGCCGCCGCCTGCGCAGCCACGGCCCGGCGAGCGAATGAAGAAAAAGGAGACTGCTAGTTTCTACGTTCGCAAACTCTGTGTAAAAACCAAGGTTACGTGAAAAGATACCGGATGCGTCGTCGAGAGGTCGGCGAGCGTCGAGTAGATGCCAAAGCTGAGGCCCATGTACGGCGCGATCCGGTATATAGGGACGTACGTAGTACTACC